AATAAGAAAAAATTATAGAAGTAAAATAATAAATCGCGACGTTTCGGAGGCAACACGGACGCTTGTGTTGCCTTCAAAACGTCGTGATTTATTATTTTATTTCTATAATTTTGTCTTTTATTATCTATTATTTATTAATTTACCTACGTGACTTTACCGAAAAAACCTAAGAGTAGGCCTCTGTTGTCTCGCAGCCAGCATTGGACGTACGCACAGTCACGTGCCCGCCAACGTTGTGCGTGTGGCTCGTGCCCGGCTGTGAGCGCGCACACGTGCGCTGCGACTCGTCGTCGTGGCCGGAGCCGAGAGTTAGGAAACGAAAGGCACACGAGCGTGTTGAGATTCGTCAAGCGACGGTGCCCCTTTTGCAAGGGCGACCTGGGAAACTGAAGACAGGTCGCTCCGTCTTTAACAAAGACAAAGATCTACCGTGTAGCCTTAACAGACTGTCGGGGCAAGTGGTGTTAGCGAGCGCCTACGAAGGCCGGCACGGCACACGAGAGGATGGGTGGCCAGCACCGCATCCAGCCACCTTTGTCTCCCGAGTGGCCATGTGAGCATACTGTACCAGGTATTCATTTGAGGCTGAGTCGACCTTGGGAAGGCCCAGGACCGGTTCAGATGATCGTGTTGGCTGTGAGTGGCAATCAATCTCGGGTGGCTGGGTTCGTAGCGCAGAGTGCTAACCACTACACCACCGCTCTTCTTCAGGCATCTTTTGCAGCGCACAGATAAACATATTCGTGCAAAAAACGCGTGGACGGTTACTCGCGCTTAGTCCATTGATTCCGTCTCGGCTGGGATTCATTCTTCAGCTCTTGACTGTATTCCGCCTTTCATGAGTAGCCATTTCCCTGATGCTGGCACGTCTCGTAACGATTCAACATCGCCGTCGTCCCACATTCGTTGTCGCCCCCTCCATGTACAGACTCCCTCGCCATCAACAACCGTGGCTTGCTGGCTTCGTGCGAGCATCTCCCGTTGCAATAAGGAACCCCGGATTCCGGATTCTTGCCCCTTTCAACTCCGCGGTAGCTGAAAGCGTAACCGGTGTGCCTAGAGAAGAAAGCTCCGTTTATTGTGAGGTCACAGCGACGGCACGTGGATCAGAAACACAGTGCTCGGTGTGATACTTAGCCGCTGGGAAGATTGTTAGGTGTGTGTTGTTGTGCACACACTGGCTGCCGGGAGTTCTGTGTGTGTTGCTGTGTGTATCGTTGTGCGTTCTGTGTGTGTTGCTGTGTGTATTGTGTTGGGTGTGTGTTGCTGTGTGTATCATTATGTTTTGCTGTGTGTATCATTGTGTGTTGGGTGTGTGTTGCTGTGTGTATCATTATGTTTTGCTGTGTGTATCATTGTGTGTTCTGTGTGTGTTGCTGTATGTGTTGCTGTGTGTATCATTACGTGTTGGGTGTGTGTTGCTATGTGTATCGTTGCGCATCCTGTGTGTGTTGCTGTGCGAACCGTTGTGAACAGACTGGCTGCCGGGTGTGATGCGGAGCTGCTGGGCCGGTACAAGCAAGCACTGGACCACGCCGTGAAGATCTCCACATCGCACAACGTCGCGCCGCTGCCGGGCCGAACGCTCGTGCTGTGCAACACCGCGGCGGCCATGAGCAAGCCCTGCAGCACGGGCCGTGGTTTGGGGAAGTCGCGCACGGTACGAGCGGCACGCCACTGCTACGAGAGAGCAACATCAAGATGGCTTCATGAGCAAAGCCACAGCTGCTGCTACTGTTGCTGCATCCTACTGTAGATGCGCCACCTTCTAGATCACTGTTGTTTCATTGCTTTCATGGCTTTATTTTGTGTGATTTTTGAAAAGTTTGTCGGTTTGGCCATGTTTGTTTGTTGTAGTACAGAGTTAGACCGATGGCCTTAATATAAGTTGTCTTGTGGTTGTTGTTGTTGTTGTTGTTTGACTTGCATCCCACTGGGATTTTTGCACACAATGTTGGTGTATGGTGCTTTTTCTGCAATATTTTGCTGTCTTTTCTTGGATTTTCTGTTTGCACATAGTCACTTTAAGATGTTTTCTTGTTCATGTTTTTGTTTGTTTGTTGCGGTTGCACCCGATTCAAGAGCCGAATGGCTCACAGGGCTATACCAGATAAATGAAACTTGAAAAAACTGGAACTTGAAACTTGCCTCGACAGTCCTCACACCGTCTGGCCCTAGGTCTCTTCCCCTTGGTCACCGGACTCATGGAGACCACGCCAATGCCTGTCTCGGCAACGGGCCCTCCCCTATCGCGCACATATGCCCGACCCAGCACGGCCTCTAACATTCTTTTACCATGAATTTGGTTCGTAAAAGTAATTCGTCCCGGCCAACTTTTGTGACATAAACTGGCCGCTATAAGGTGATGCCACCACAGGTGATAGCGCCAAGCGGAGCATCTCGTCTGGGCCCGTGAGATTTCCCCGTCGTATATTTTCATTGTATGTATCACTTAAGCTTTTTCGGGCAACCAATCACGGGGGACGGGGGTGTGGGTAGACATCCTGAACGATGTTATGATGGTGCTCAATTTGTTTGTGTCGTGAGTAGCGACGGTGTTACATCGCTACGATGGATTCTCGGCACAAATTGCTCACCACCAAGTGTGCCGCGCCTGCGTCCGACGCCGTGGCCCCGCGTGGTTTTGTGACGGTGCGCCCGCGCTACGGTACCGCAGGTGCTGGAGGTGGCCCTGCTGCTGGGGCTCATGGTGAAGTTTGCGAGCGAGCACGCGGAGCTGGTGCTGTGGGGCCGGGGCTCTGCCCGGCACGTGCAGCTCGCGGACGGAACCGTGCTCGAGAATCTGGAGCAGCTGCTGCGGGAGGTGACTTGCGCGCGGCTGCGAATGCGATGCTTGTGGTTTGACAAGTCGCTGCTGCGACAAGGTCACTTGAGAGTGCTTTGACAGCTTTTGTCCCTAACTGATGTTGACGATCATGTGTGCATAATGCCAGTACTTTACAAGTCGAACAGAAAATGTGGAGTGATGGTTATCGGTGTGGCGCGTGGAGTGTGTGGATCGTGGAAGGTAGAATGCAATGGAGAATCCTCCAGAGCCACTTCTCATAAACACCGCTTGTGCAGGAGGAGCAGAAGCGGAAGGAGGAGGAGGATGACAGTGATGACAGCGACGACAGCGGAGCTGAGGTGGCGAGCGACGACGAGGATGACACGGGCTTACCTGAGGAGCTGCTGTCCACCCTGCTCCTGCAGAAAAAGCAGGTATTGGTGGCGCTGCCGACGGATCGTCGTCCCCACGCGGCGGCCTCCGTGAGACCCTCCACAGTTCGCTCCAAACACACCGACGATCGATGGTGACTCTTCAAGTTACATAGTTTGCGGTTCATGGTGGGGGTGCGTGCCACCTCGTGGCACGAGGCCTGCAAACCGCAGTTGTTATCCTGCAGCCTGTTTGCTTTCCGGAATAAAACCGAGTCTTTACGAACGATTTTCTCCTTCCAAAGTGACAACTTTTCAGCGTCCCCCAAGCGCACGCAACGTCGTTGGTGCCGGCTACAAACGTCCCAACGTAGCAGGCCCCCTGCGCGGCTGTCTCGTTGTGAACAAGCGCACCGGCGGTGCGACACAGTTTCCTGGTGATGCGTGCGGTTTCCAGGTGACCGCGCTGGTGGTGCTGGACTGGCGCGTGATGCTCCCGCCGAGCGTGCGCCGCTTCCTCGTGCGCTACCGCCACTCGGTCAACCCGGGCCTCCTCTTCCTGCACTGCAACCTGGCGGCCACGAGCACGGGGTGCGTCGCAAGCCTCCGGGGGTCGAGGGTTAGGGGGTCAGCCTCGTGATCGTCCGTGCTGGGCTTGCCCCCTACCGCGGTGATGCTCCCCGACAAGTCACGCGCTGAACAGTCCAACGCGGCACCCGCCCGAACGGACACAGATTCTCAGCGGTTTGCGAAGTCGGGGAAATAAAAGTTGGGCTCAGGGGGCGCTGTTTGCTGCTGCCCTGTGTGCCATGCGGTCTGATTCTCCTGCTCTCCCTCCCTCTCCATCCCTCCCCTCCCTCGCCCGCCCGCCAAGCCTCTCTGATTTTCTCTAACAACGATGCGGTGGTATCTGCATGAATCGCAATATTTTAATTTATTACTGAATTGAAAGGAAATATATTTGCGGTATTTCGTCCTCACGTTCTGCGGGAGCACAAGCTGTGTATGATTAAGTTGCGTGCTGCGTGGATGTTTCTTGCTGCTGTAGGATTGGCGACCCTGCGGAGGGCTACCACGAGAGCGACGTGTTTGTCTCGGGCTACAGCGAGCAGATCCTCAGGTGGGTTCCACACCTCGACTGTGAGACCGACGCAGATTACAATGAACTAATTGTAATTATTATGTTTTACGTTTACCTTAGATTAGCACGGGTGGCCATGTATGGCACGAAAGTAGTTCAACAAACATGCATACATACTAAGCCCTGCCTGTATGATAATGTTTAATTTCTTTCTAGGGATGACGGTTTACCCTTGTGACAGGAAAATTAGTATTTTATTAATAATTGTTATTTTTGAAAAATAACTTCGGGCCCTGTTCAGAAAAGCCCGACGTTTCAGGACCACCTCCCCCCAACTTGGGAAGTTTCTCGCTCCGCCCTCCACCACGAACCGTCGTCGTCGTCAGACCGCATAGGCAGCGACGCCGCGTCGTGCTCGCCGGAGCCTCCACGCTCCGCCGCGTCGCGCAATCCTCGCCGTCGCGAGTATCACAGCGGCGGCGGCGGTGTCGCTCGCGCTGTGCAGGTTCCTGTCGGAGCGCGGCGGGGAGCGCATGCTGCAGCACGTAGAGCGCGTGGACGCCCTCTACGGCGTGCCGCCCCCGCCCGACGCCGGTGCCGGGGAGAGCGCCGTCGTCCCAGCGGAGGTCCCCGTGTCGCTGCCTCCCGCAGTGAGGCAAGTGTCGCGGTCTTCCCCTTTCCTCGACGTTTCTAGGAATTGCGGTTGCCACCTGTCCTGCTGGGGCCTAGTCCACCGCGAGGGAACGGAACGTGTTCCCGG